GCCCCGCCCCAGCGCCTGGCCCAGCACGGCTGTCTCTCTGCTTCTAGGACATCCTGGTCTCGGAGCTGATGAAGAAGCTGGACCTGCTGGGGGACAACGCCGTAAGTGTAGGTTGCTCTCCTGACTCGTGCATGCCTCCCCGCGCGCCGCCCTGCACGGCCCAGGGCCCCTGTGAGTCCCGCGGTGCCCGGCCCCTGCCCCGCGCGCTCCCGCCTCCGGAGCTGCTCACCAGCCCTCTGGCGTTCACGAGAAATCCCGTTCTTTCTCACAGTGTTCCCGATTCCTCCAGCAGCGATGCTTCTGGCCCCGTGTTCTCAGTTTCTGAACCCCTCCCAGTCTTGAAGTTCTTCCGCATCCTTGGTGGGGCTGGGGGCTGGGGCTCCTTGGGCTCCCTTCAGTTCAGTTCAGTCACTCAGTCCTGTCCGACTTAGACTGCTGGAACTCAGGGCTTCCCACCTAGTTTTGGCAGAGGGGCAGAGCCTATGAATGAATAATCTCCGAATTTCACTTAGGGCAGAGTCCCGATCTCTACAGTGAATTCCCCAAATGAATGGGAATTGCTGAATGAGTGCACCCCTCCGTCCACCCTCCGTCCACCCTCCGCCCATCGTCTGTCCTCCGCCACCCTTCCGTCTGTTCCCTGTTCACCCCCAACGCCCCCTCCTGTACTTGTTAAGCCCCTGCCGGATGGTGGGGGGAACGACTGTGCTGGCAGAGGGCCCCGCCCACACCCCAGACTGTCCCTCATGAGTGCTCAGCCTCCTGTGAAGCGCCCTGGGCTCCACATCTGCTCACTGTTCTCAAGAGAGAGCAAAGCACTAGGATCGGTGCACTGCACGGGAGAGGTGGAGGAAAAAACGCACGCGCGCGCGCGCACACTCTCACACTCACGCGTGTATACCAGAACCCAGGCGCTTCTGCACACCCTCAGGCCCCGTTCTCCCAGCAGCTTCCGAGCGTCCAGGGCCCTGCGCTGACCGGAAGCCCTCCTCCCTGCCCCCCACCCCGCCCTTTAGATGGGAAGCAGGAAGAGGGGAGGGTGGGGTGGCTCCCACAGGGAGGCGCTCCTGGCCGAACCTGCCGCGCCCCCACCCCGGGTCGGACCCCTCGCTCCACCTCGGCTGCGGGCAGCGGAGGCAGTGGTCCACAGCAGGATGGCCGTCGTCACCGTGGGCTCCAGGCTCAGCCTGAGTACCAGCCCTGCCCAGGGCTCCGGGGCCTTTCAGTTCACAGCTGGACAGACTGAGGCCCCAGAGGGCACCACCCAGGAGCTCAGAGCTGCTGTGTTGGCCCGCGAGGATGAGCCCAGGCCTGCCCAGTCCCCCAGCCCTGCAGCTGCCCCCCTGGAGCGCCAGGGGCACGTGCCCTGGAGCCATCATGTGGCCTCAGAGACGGGGACAGAGGATTCACTGCCAGTTTTATGCAGTGACCCTTGGTGGTTCCTAAAGGGCCATGGGGCATCCCCAGGTCTGACATTGTGCATGTGGACACATTTCAGGCAGGGGCAGGGACAGCCTGCCTCTGTCACCGTCTCGGCCAGGGCACTGGGAGGCTGTGGCCACCGTTCTCCGGGCCACTCCTCCTGATGAGGCTGCGGCCTGCCGCTGGCCACGGGGCACCTGAGCACCTCGGTCTCCTTAGGAGTCGGGGCCTGTGGCGTGGAGCAGAGAGGCGGGCGGGGGCACCACAGACCTGTCCCCCCTGCTGGGCTCCCCACTGCTGCCCTGGCAGGCAGGGCGGACGGGTCACCCGGGGGAGGCGGAGAGGGCCCAGGTCGCAGCCACCTCTGGGGGAGCAGGAGGGGCCCAGCCAGGCTGCTCACCCCGTGCACAGCGCCAGCCCTTCAGGCTGGTCTGACCACATGCTGGTAGCTTCCCTCAGTCACCCTGCAGCCCCCCGCCCAGTCCCACCCCTCAGACCTGGCCCTGCCCTGGGCAGGAGGGGACCGCCTGGCTAGCCTCCCTGGAGCCACAGGGATGGGATGCCCAACTCCAGCACCATGGCATGTCAGGGTGCAGCATGCCCAAGCACAGAGCCTGCCTCTGTGCCCAGCAGCTGGCCACCAGCCCCCACCCGTGCTGACTGCTGCCAGGGCAGGGGGCTGGCAAGAGACCCCATGCTGCAGAGGGAGAGAGGTAGGAGGGCTTTCGGGGCAGATGGCCTTGAATCAGGCAGGTTCTGGGGTGTGGGGGCCGCCCTCAACTCCGTGACCCCGGCAGACTCCTCGCCACTTGCCTCTGCTCTCCATGACCGCCCGGCGGCCCCCGGCTGGGCCCAGCCCTGGGGACAGCCCAGCTCGTCCCCTCCAGCCCCTGGTGTTCATGCAGGTGGGACACCCTCTGAGGAGGCCCGCCGGCCCGAGGCCAGGGTCACCCTGCTCAGAAGGACCACCCCGGTGGGCCCATTGGGATGAGGCATGAATAAAACACGCAGGGAGAAGGCAAAGCAGCAGAGATGTTTGATCTTTGCTTCACATTTATAAGCAGTGCTTTAATAATTCAGGCCACATGTGAGGAGAGCTGGCTTTGAGTAAGAATCCGGACAGAGTACGGAAGCCTGGCTGCTCTTTCCACCACCCACCGTCCCATCCTGCAGGCGTGGTCGCCTGCAGTGAGAGGGCCAGAGGGGCAAGCCAGAGGCTCAGTGGGAGTCAGCAAGGCCAAGAGCGAAGGGGGTTAGAGCCTCCCAGGAGGGCCTGTTCGTGACAGTGACATTTAGCTGTGACCCCAGCTCCCCCATGCCCACTGAACACTGGTCACCCACCCCTTCTGAGCGCCCATCACCCATCCCAAGCACCCACCATGCATGTCTCCCCAAGGCCAGCTCTGCCCCGATTTCCCCAGAGGCCAGAGTCATGGTGGGTCTGTTAGAGAAATTCAGAGAGTGAGCCCACGCTGGTCACACCAGGCGCAGGCCCTACCCAGGCAGGCCTGAGTCCACGTGGCTCCTGAGACACATGCAGGCCGCAGAACACCCTCCCCGTTTCTGCCCAAACCCGCACAGCCGGGCGTTCCAGCGGTCGTGCTGCGCTCACCTGGGTTGCCTCTGCTTGCCCTGCCAGGACCCTGTTCTGGGGGCCACCCACCCGGCTCCCCGCCCTCCAGTTTCTCTGCTCCCAGGACCACCTGCCTGCTCCTGGTTGCCCACCCCCGCCCCACCTGTAGCCAGAACCCGCTGGTAGGCCTGCGGTGAGCGCCCCCGTCCCACAGGCCTCCAGCAGGGCGTGGAAGGCTGTCCCTGTAAGTAGGAGTTCAGAGGCCAGCTCCTGGGAGCACAGGCCGCTTGACACCCCTCCTCTCCCGGGGGTGTGGGAGGGCAGGCTCCCTGGATGCCAGGCAGGGCTGTGGGATGGGCCCAGGCCTGGCCTGCATGCTGGGCACACGGAGGCCATGATGCCCTCCCAGCCCTGATTCCCGCAGGGGCTAAGCCCTCCCTCCCTGAAGAAGAGCAGAAAGGACAGAGGCGCCCCGCCCCCACCCCCCAGGCCATCTCCCCAGAGCTGGGGAGGTGGGCTCTGCTGACCGAGTGGTGACCTGGGGGCTCACGGTCGCTGGGACCCTCTGTCTGTACCCAGTGGCTGCAGCAGATCGAGGAGACGGAGTTGGCCCTGCAGCGGAAGATGGTGGACCTGGAAAGTGAGAAGGTGGGTGCACGCCTGGGCCCGCAGCCCCGTGCCACCACGTCCGACACGCGAGGCCCAGACGCGGGTCCCCTTGTGTTCCAGGAGCTGTTCAGTAAGCAGAAGGGCTACCTGGATGAGGAGCTAGACTACCGGAAGCAGTGCTTGGACCAGGCTCATAAGGTGAGCACAGCATGGCCCGTGGAACGCCCGGCCGTGCGGGTTTGGGCAGAAACGGGGAAGGTGTTCCGCGGCCAGCATGTGTCTCAGGGGCTACATGGACTCAGGCCTGCCTGGGAAGGGCCTGCGCCCGGTATGACCGGCTTGAGGTCACCCTCTGAATTTCTCTTGCTGGAGACCCCTCGCCCAGCGAGTTCCGAGGGCGCCTTACTGCCCCTTTGGCCAGCCTTGGCCCCAGGAGTACAGGCAAATGAGCAGAGGTCAAGTGGGTATTTGAATTGAGCTGCGAAAACAGGATTTATTGAAACGATGCATTTATGAATGGAAGGAACATAGCTGAGTGTCTGTCCGTCCTCTCTCCCTGCCCACTGGCATGGCGAGCTGCTCACCTGCCCTTTGCACGCCTGCCTGCTCTGCAGGAGACCTGTCCCCAGACGAACCCGAGAGGAGGCCCCGTGTGGGGTCGACCCCGAGAGCCGGGCCTCTTCTCCACTGCGTCAGTGAGCCCTCACTGAAGTGAGCTGGAGGACGTGGGAAGAAACTTCATGCACCTCAGGCAGCCTTGCTGTTTCAGGGCGGCCCCCGAATCAATGCCACACTTAGCTCCTCAGACTGGGCTCAACAGGGGTGCTTCCTGCAGGAGCAGGGCCCGCGCTCCCTCTGCAGCCGTGAGCGCACCTGTGGGTCAGAGTCACGGGCAGGACGGTCCTTCCTGGCGGTGTGGGCCTCTGTGCCCTGCCTGCAGAGTGCGCTGTGAGTGGGTGCTGTCACGTGGCCCACGGCGGTGGCTGGAGGAGCAGAAAGCGTCACCCTGGGACGGCGGGTGGGGGCTCCGTCACACAGCCCCGAGGGACGCCGTGGGGCCGCGGAGACGCTCGGTCCTCCCTCGTGGGATGACTGTCGGGGCTGCTCCCCGTGTGCCATCGTCTGGGGCCCCCTCTCTGCAGTGTTGGCAGGAAGGCTGCACAATGTGCTGTCCACCCTGGTTTTCTCTTTCTTTTCTCTTGTGGCCTCACTGGGTCCCCCTTGAGGCACACGGGCTCCCCATGTTGCTGCGGGAAGGCTTCTCTCATTGCCCCACAACATGTGGGGTCTCAGTTCCCCAACCAGGGGTCAAACCTGCATCCTCTGAATTGGAAGGCGGATGCTTACCCGCTGAACCACCAGGAAAGTCCCCAACCCTGATTTTCTTGACTCCGGAGTTAAGCCTGCACTTCCTGCTGGACAGTTAGCCATTTTATCTGCCGCTCACAGAACCCCGTGCAGGAGGGGGCACCTACTCACCTTGGGGTGTCTGGCAGGGAGGCCTGCCAGCTTTCACAGCCCCCTGCTGTAAGCACTGGAGCCACAGCTGGGATTTCAGGGGGAAGGGCGATCCTCACTCTGGGGCAGGCCCTGGGCACAGAGCCGAGTTCTGGGCATCTGGGTGGCCGTGGCTCAAGCTGCTGCATCGCGTGAGCAAGGTCAGACCATCTCTGCCCACAGGCTGGGGGTGAAGTCACTGTGATGTGAAAGCTAAGCCCCACACTCAGCTGCCTTTGTTTGAAACCGGAGCTTATCTTAAACGCACTGAGCTCTTTCGCTCTAAGAAGTGGCAGCTGATGTGTGGTGCGAGCTGGCTGTGACAGCTGACCGGGGACAGTCGATTTTGTGGCTGTCAAGAACAATAACATGAACAAAGGGCTCTTTCCCCCCGTTTCCTAAAATGTCTACTCAGCCAAAAGGACGTCCAGTAGTCATTTTGCCTGAAGAGAAAACATTCATTTGTGAGGAATGTTGACCTGAAAAATAGTCACAGCCTAAAAATTAACAGTTATGTTTTATTCAGTGGAAACTTTTAGGACTTAAGCCCAGGAGGCACCTTCTCAACTGACCCTGAGAGAACAGCTCAGAGGAGGCAAGTGAAAGTCACTCAGTCGTGTCCGCCTCTTTGCAACCGCATAGACTGTACAGTCCATGGAATTCTCCAGGCCAGAATATTGGAGTGGGTAGCCTTTCCCTTCTCCATGCGACCTTCCCAACCCAGGGATCAGACCCAGGTCTCCCGCATTGCAGGCAGATTCAGTTTTGCAACAAAGGGCAGGTAGTCTGAACATCAAAAGATTATTGTGAAGTAAAGAAGACAAGATGACCCAAGTTAAGGAATTTAGTGCCTCCCTGTGTATGGGAAGATGCGAGAGTCTGGGCTCACTGCAGCCGTTCCTTTCACGCGCACCTCAGCTGTCCCGGGCCGGGCCGGTGTCCTGCGCTTTTCCCTTCCTGAGCTTCCCTGGGGCTCACCGTGGGGAGCGGCTGCAGGCTGATGGCTGCTAGACGGCAGGCATTCTTTCCTTCCTGCGTCTCCTCAGGGCTCACCGGCACACGCTGGAGGACTGCAGTCACTGAAGACTGTGACATCCTTACTTACTGATATGACAAGAAATATTCTGTTTCTCGGGAGGGTACATGTTTGATGGGAAGAATGTGGTTATTTCAAGATTGTATCTGTGAAATTTCTTGAGGAACAAGCTTTGAAAGTGCTCCAGGCCAAACTGCTGGGTCCTCGGCCATTTATGACCAGGTCTGTGTTTTGGTGCCTGCTGGCAGTACGGGAGATTGAGCAAGCTCTGGGAGACGGCGAAGGACAGGGAGGCCTGGCGTGTGGCAGTCCATGGCGTCGCAGAGTCGGACACGACCTACTGACTGAACGGGGAGCAGCAGCCTAGCAGGCTCTCTATGATGAGCCCCCGGGGGCGCAAGGGCTGGGCTGGAGCCCCCCGTGTCTGAACCCTGCTCTCCCCCAGCAGGCCCGGTGCAGCTGGTCCAGCCCAGGGGTCTCTGCAGCCCGCCTCAGCATCCTCACCATGAGCCAGGGCTGACGAGGGTGCCTGCTGCCTGGAAGGGGGGCCTGGAGGGCTTCGTGCAGTGAAGCCTAGGGCAGTGCAGCACACCCAGGCATTGCGGGCGGGGCGCCGTTAGCCGTGCCATGGACAGAGGAGAGGAAGCTGTGAGGCAGGCAGAGGCTGGGCACGTGGGGCATGAGGTGAAGGTGAGGCCTTGTGTGCAGGCAGCAGGGAGGAGGACAGACAGACAGACAGACGGAAGGGAGGGGACGTGGGGCAGGCGTATGCACCGTAGTCTGGAGGCCCAAAGCCTGACCCCAAGGCGCTGGCTGGGCCATGCTCCCTCAGAGGACTCAGGGGAGGCCCGCCTGCCTATTCCAGCTCCTAGGGCCTCAGTTGTTCTGGGCTTGTGGCCACGCCACCCCAGTCTCTGCCTCTGTCGTCACCTGGCTTCCCCTCATCATCAATGACTGTCACCAATCCCCTCTTCTTCTGAGGTCATGAGTCAGTGGATCGAGGCCCCTAACCCAGTCTGATCTTAGGTGTGCTGGCTGACATCTATGGAGACCTTATTTCCAAATGACCCATGTTCACAGATTCCAGGGGTTAGGACTTGACGCTTCTTTGGGGGCAGGAGTCATCCCCACAGGCGGTGCTGGGGCCACAGAGCTGACAGCCTGGCCCCTCTGCATCACTGCAGACAAACCCGTGGGGACCGTCCTTCCTCCTTTTAGCTACTCAGAAGCCCAGGGTTTGGTGAAGTTGTGAGCAAAGGAAGAAGCCTTTGTGGTCTTTCCTCAAGGGATGCCTGCCCAGTCCATGGCCCGTTTGGCCGACCTCTTACTGCAGCTTTGAATTCTGCTGACCCCGACGTCCTTAATGTTTCATTGCACCTTAAACATCGCAGGAAGGGATGCTCTTGACATAAGTACTCCTGGAATGGCTCCACCCTCCAGAAATCATTTAACTGGTCCAGGAGGCAGCAGTCCCCTCTTTGGGCTGGTCCGGAGGTGTCCTGGCTCCCAGGCGGGGTACCTCGGCCCCAGGCAGTCCTCAGGGAAGAAGGCGGGGCCTGACGTGTCCGCTCCCACCCCCAGCACATCCTGGAGCTGGAAGCCATGCTGTACGATGCCCTACAGCAGGAGGCCGGGGCCAAAGTAGCCGAGCTGCTGTCGGAGGAGGAGCGTGAGAAGCTCGGGGTGGCGGTGGAGCAGTGGAAGCGCCAGGTCATGAGCGAGCTGCGCGAGCGGGACGCCCAGATCCTGCGGGAGCGCATGGAGCTTTTGCAACTGGCGCAGCAGGTGCGGGAGGGGCGTGGCGTTGCGAGGGCGGCGTGGCGCCACGGGGGCGGGGCCTACAGGAGGGGCGTGGCGCCGCGGGGCGGGGCCTATGGGAGGGGCCTATGGGAGGGGCGGGGCGCCACGGGGCCTGGGGTGCCGGGCTAGGGGAGGCCTTCTCATGGCCTCGCCTTCTGATGGCCATTACTCCAAGGACCATACCTTCCTGGCCAGGACTTTCCACTGGCCGAGCCCTCCCAGGTGCCCACACGCCCAGTGGCCCTCCTCTCCACTAGCCTTGCCCACGGGGGGCCCTCCTCCCAGACTGCCTGTCCCTCCAGACCAGCCTGTTGGGCTGTCCTGCCCAGGCCTCTGGGTGGTACATACCCCTTCCGGGACCCCGATACCAGTCTCTTCCCTGGCTCCTCCCTCAATGGTAAGATCCAGAGAAGGTGTTGTCTGGGGGACAGTGAGCAGTTCCTGGACCTGGGACTTGGGAACCTTCTTCTGACTTTCAGGCACTTGGGGCCCTTGGGCCAGTCTGGCCAGTCCGTTTTTCTGGCCAGTTAATTTCTAAGGGGGGATGAGGGATGCTGGCAGACTAGCAGCCTTCGTGTGTAAGACTTGCCTCCAGTCCCCTGTGTGTGTGGTGTGGCCTGGAAGGAGCCTCGTGGCTGTGTTCCGTGTTCAGATAAACTAGTGAACTCAGGTGTCCTGTGAGTGTCAGGGCTGATGTCTCACCAGAGGACTGTTTGCTACCAGGACCCTTGCTGTCAGATCCAAAGGGGTCAGTGTGAGGACCCCTCACTCCCATCAGATGGGCAGTGTCAGAGTCTAGGTGCATCCAGGGTCTAGGCCAGGCATCCAGGTCAGGCATGGATATACATGTCCATCTGACTGACTGTGCACCACAATGAAGACTAGGCTTTCCAACTGTGGGGTCAGCCTCGACAGCAAAGTCCTCCCCGTGACAGGCTCTGTGACCCTTCAGTCTGCTCCTTGGACTGCTGTGGCGACGTCTGGGAAGGACCATGAATCGGGCCCTTACCGTTTGCTTGGGCTCTAGCATTGTGATTTGTGATCTGAAGGTGCAGGAGGTGGGAATGTGGCTGGGGAAGGGGTGGGGGGGGTACCTGCTGTTTTGTTGGCGCTAAGAGCAGACTCAGAAAGGCTGTGTCAGAGAAACTGAGGCAGGCACGTTTCAGCCGAGGCCCCAGAAGTCGGTGGGGAGGGCAGCCCAAGGCCCCACCTGCTCCCCGAGGCCGGTGTGACAGCTGCTCTGTGGGATTTGCCTGCCGAGTGCATGGGTGAAGATCCTGAGGGATCTTTTCCCACTTGGTTTTCCAAATATTCTGGTTATTGAGGATTTTCCTCCTTTGAACATTGCAGAGAATTAAAGAATTAGAAGAAAGAATAGAAGCCCAGAAGAGACAAATAAAGGAACTGGAGGAAAAGGTAAGGAAGGTCAGTGTGAACTTCGGGGCTGACACACAGAGGCGGGCGGTAGCTCCTGGCGTCACGCAGCACTGGTCTGAGGCTGGGGTGCTGTCGGGCAGAAAGAGGCTCCGAACCAGGGGCTGGAGCACGGGGTCTGGGAACACCCTGTCCTTGATGACCCAGCCACGCCACCCCCGGGACCGTGCTTCTCACGGCCTCCGTGTCCCAGCTTCGGAGGTGCCTGTGGCCCAGCGACCGGGGCCCTTTCGTGCGAGCGCTTTGCTGTGGCTGCTGAGCTGGGAAGCCGTGGGTGCTGGGGTACAGCTGGTTTGGGGCCATGTGGCTCGGGGTCAGGGAGGACCGCCAGCCCTTCCCCCAACCCCGGGCTCTGAGTCCAGGACAGAGTGCCCGTCCAGGGTGGATGGAATGCCTGTGGGGACAAGCCTGGCTCTTTCCTGGGGGTTTCTCTGAGTTCTAGGACAGTTGGATGTTTTATTTTATTTTTAATTTAAGTTTTCTGTGTGTGTGACTTAGGATGTTTCAATGGCTTCTCATGGGCTTTCCTGGTTCAGCAGTAGAGAACCTGCCTGCAATGCAGGAGACGTGGGTTCAATCCCTAGGTTGGGGAGATCCCTTGGAGAAGGAACTGGCAACCCACTCCATATTCAGGCCTGGGAAACCCTGGGCACAGAGGAGCCTGGTGGGCGGCCCCTCCGCACGCAGCCCCTGGAGCCGGTTCCCCGCCCCCGCCCTGCCCACCCTCCTATGGACCAAACCAGCCCCTTCCGTGGGCACTCTGCCGCCATCTGCCGGACAGTCTTGGTGGGAACTTGCAAATCCGAGCCCGTGACGCCCCTGGAGTCTTGTGGGTGGGGCACGACTTGCCAGGCAGAGAGGAACCTGGGAGGGGAGGCGTGCCTGCCCCCTGGGTGGGTGCCTAGAGGCACCGGGCTCGCGGGGGCTGGGCGCTGGGGAGGGGAGGGGAGGGGAGGGCAGTGCACAGCCTGGAGGCGGTGCAGTCCCTGCCTCCTTTTGCATCTTAAAGTGAGAGCATTTGTTTGTATTAAATGCTCGAATTTTTTAAATTGGGTGTTTACTCTTTTAATCTAGCTGAAGAGGCTCCGCTTTTCCAAGCAGCTGTACCGCGGCCAGATTTTCTCTTGTGTCTAAATTGGCCGGGCCCCGCCCCCAACCAAAAAGGAGGGTTTCTGAGTGTGAAATCTATTCAGCATGCTGGCTGTGCTTTATCACTTACAGTGGGACTGAAACCAAAATATTGTCCCGGAGTGCTGGTGTTTGCCTGGCACTTGGCACGTCTTTCCATCCGTAAGACTTCCATCATCATTATAGCCAGTTAGCACCCTCACCATCACCCGGCGACAGGTACAGATGGGCCGGTCCCCACTCCCCCCAACCCAGAGGCAAGGTGACCGGCAGAGGCTCCCTCCTTACTGTCCTCTGGACGGTGTGGGGCCCCAGGGCACAGCCCCCAGGGACAGACAGCGTGGTCACTTCAGACCCAGGCATCCTCATGGCCCCTGGCAGCTCAGCCCTTAACCCACTGGACACAGCGCGCCAGGACCCGCTCCTGACCCCCGGCCAGCTGTTCTGCGTTGCTCTGTCTGTGGTCACACATTCGTTCTTGCCAGAAACTCTACAAACTCTCTTTTCTTTCTTTCCTTCCATGTCTCCGCCCTCCCCTTTCCTTTTCAGTTTCTATTTTTGTTCTTATTTTTCTCCTTAGCTTTCATTCTGTGGTCATAGCTCGCCTGGGCACTCTGGCGTGGTGAGTATTTTGTCCACGTCCTGGGGACCAGCAGGGCCTCCTCTTTCCATAAGCAGGAGGGGCTTCCTGGAGGCGACACCCAGGGCCCACACAGGTCCTAGAGGGGAGGGTCTGCCATCATCAGAGGGGAAGGGGTGCTCGCCTTCCTGGAGAAAGTCCCCGAGGGGCCTCCTGGGGGAGAGATGTGTGCACACGCTCCCAGTTCTCTGCTCCAGGCACTTCGGCAGGAGGCAGCGCTGGGGTTTGGTGACTTTTGTCCTTTGTGTATCAAGTATGATCTGGGGTGACACTGGAGATTCGGCCAGGACCCCCGCCTTCCTGACAAGCTGGGCTCACTCAGGACGTCACAGTCATCCTAGGCTGTGACATCGTGCCTGCGACTTTCAGCCCGAGGTGCATGGGAAAGCTTGACCACTGCCTCCTTCCCAAACAAGACCTCGTCATCCTGTCTCTGTCTGTGGGCGCTGCCCCCCGCCAGAGGGCCTTTCCTCTGGAGCAGAGCCATCCTTCCCCACGCCCTTGCCCCTCCAGCCCCTTCCCGCTCGCCCTGCCACCCCCCTGACCGATATCCTGCATCTCTTTCCCTCCAGCCCCCCTTTCCTCCAACTTTACGGGAGAGCGGCGGGTGCCCGGGCAGCAGAGCGAGGCGCCCCATCTCGTCCCTGAAGACTCGGAGGAAGCTGGCATCTGCAGACCCCCTGCCGTCGAGGAGGAGGGAGAGGGGCCTCTGAGCGCCTCCGCGGGGACTGTCCACTTTGATGAGCCAGAATGAGAACTCATTCTCCGACTGGGCTTCTCTGGAGAGACCTGGTCTTGGCTGCGGACCCCAGGTCCTTGCTGGGGACACAGCCCCCCAGCCCCAGTTGCGGGGCCTTGCGGGGCCCCCGCGGGCAGGTGCCAAGGGCCGCTTCAGGGCAGGAGCCCCAGCCCCCGCCCCCCCTGGTTCCCTCAGTAACCACAACGTGAGTCAGAGCAGAGGGCGGACTCCCAGAAACAACGCAGGTGGCCGGCAGCACGCCGCGGCAGGGCTGTTGCCACGATGGGGACCTTCGTCCAGGGCACCCGGGCGGCTCATGGAGCATCTCCAGTGTGGTTCCCTGGGTCGCCAGGCCAGCTGTGAAGACGCTGCAACTCACCCACTGGGGTCCTGGGCACTTGCCGACTGACGCATGCGGCCACCCTGCTGTGTTAGACGCTGTCGCTAGTGGGAACAGAACTGTGGATGCCACGGTGCCGCTAGCCTCCCGCCCTGAGTCCCGCCGAGGGACTGGCCAGAGCAAGGACTGAGAGCCGGTGGAGGGAGCTGGGATGAGAAGGGTGGGGTGGCTGGACAGGGCTGGGCCTCACTGGAGACAGGGGCCAGAGGCCGTCTCGAGCGGCGCAGACCCGGGCACCGCGGAGGCAGGCCCAGTGTGGCCGAAGCCGCCCGGCCCAGAGCTGCAGCCTTCACGCTTCAGGGGCAGTGCCTGGCAAGGACCACAGCGCCCATAGGTCTGCGGTTGAGAAGGGGGCTGACGCCCAGCTGGCAGCAGGTGAGGCTCAGCTGTCACCCCTGGGACGCCCACTCACCTCCTTCGGGTCTGCGGGATCCCACCTCCTGGGGTGGGGGCAGGTCGGCCCCTCTGAGGTGTGGGTTCAGTTTGCTGGGATGCTGGCCTGCAGCGGGAGCCCTGCTGTCTATTCGGGCGGGTGAGGGCCAGGTGGGCGCCGGGCGGTCCCAGAGGTGCTGACTGTATTGTGGGTGTCCTCTGCCCAGACGCAGGACACTCCCCAACATGGCCAGCCGAGGGGCCCGTGTGGGGTCACAGGGCACGTCCCTGAGCCACAGGGGCAGCCTCAGCACAGCTCCCAGCAGAAGAGGGCACCCGGCCCCTCCTGCCAACCCAGCCCCACCCTGCACCCCAGGCCTCTCGACCTGCCTGCCCACCCCATCTTGCTGGGCCCAGAAACTCCGAAACCTTTTCTTGTGGAGCAGCCCCTCTCTCTGGCCCTGACTTCCAGCTCAGCAGGCCTCCTTGGGCCCCCAGGGCATCACCTCCCCCCAACTCCAGGGCGGGGTCAGACTCTGGATGGCCGGGCGCTCCTGGGGAGCTTTCCTCTCCACATGTTTCTGGGTGACGTGAGCGGCTCGGGGGGCAGTTCTGTATTCTGGGTCTGTAGGAATGATAAGGGGCTCAGTCTCCCCCACCCCGTCCCATCACAGAGCCAGCTGAACCTCTGACAGTGGGGCTGCAGGGCCCCCCAAGACGCATCCCCCTGTAGAGAAGGGAGTCAGGCAGAGCAGAGGCCCGAGTGAGACCACCGCCCGCTCCTTAGAAGGGGCCTCAAGACACTCAGCTCTTTCACACGGTTCCTCTAAGGAAGCCCGTCTCTCGAAGCCACGTGCAGTCAGCCTGATGTGGGGCCTGGGCCCGGCCAGGGACGCACGGGCACAGCCTCCCGCTGGTCCCCCATCCTGGTCCACAGTGGGCCCTCCAACCTGAGCACCCCTTCAAGGCCCAGTCCCTGGAGCTCGGGGTCCCTGGATTTCAGGATTCCTGGAACTCGGGGTCCCTGGAGCTTGGGATTCCTGGAGCTCGGGGTCCCTGGATTTCAGGATTCCTGGAACTCGGGGTCCCTGGAGCTTGGGATTCCTGGAGCTCGGGATTCCTGGAGCTCAGGGCCCCTGGAGCTCAGGATTCCTGTAGCTTGGGGTCCCTGTAACTTGGGATTCCTAGAGCTTGGGGTCCCTGGATTTGGGGATTCTTGGAGCTCAGGATTCTTGGAGCTTGGGGTCCCTGGATTTCAGCATTCCTGGAGCTCACGATTCTTGGAGTTCAGGGTCTCTGGAGCTCGGGATTCCTGGAGCGCAGGGTCCCTGGAACTTGGTATTCCTGGAACTGGGGGTCCCTGGATTTTGGGATTCTTGGAGCTCAGGGTCCCTGTATCTTGGGGTCCCTGGAGCTCAGGATTCCTGGATCTTGTGGTCCCTGGAGCTCAGAGTCACTTGAGGTATGCGGGCTGTGCCGTGTTGTGTGAAGGCAAGTGCTTGACGAGGACAAACCACTGTCACAGCCTGGCTTCAGAGGTCACCTGTAGCCTGTGAAGGACAGTGAACCCCGTACATGGCCGCGGCAATGCTGTGTCAAAAGGAATGGTGCAGAGTCCCTGGAAGGGCCCCGGAGCGGCAGGATTGCCTCTGCCCCTTTGAGATCTTCCCCACAGCTTCCCCCTAGAGAGCCAGCCCAGCTCTGCAGTCTGTCTTGCTGTGTGCGGGGCATGGGGTCCCGCCGGGGCTTGGAAGGCCAGTCGGTGCCCCAGAACCATGAGCAGGTCTCACCTGTGGAGGAGAGAAGGGCTGGGTATGGATGACTGGGTGCCTGAGGTGAGGGTCGGCTGTGGGAGCGCTGGGCAGGCATGACCTCCCTGGGGCCAGGCAGTCTCCAGGACCTGGGTGTTGATGGAGGCTCCCTTGGACGTCTGGAGAGAGACCCGGACGGGACTTGGACCAGCTCCTGCTCCCAGGATGCTCGTATTGGGGTGGCCTTGGTAGGGGGCGGTGGGCATCACCATGCGGGGACGGAATTGGGCTGCATGTCTCACGCGGGGCTATTGGGTGGTGGCACGCAGTGGGGGCCAGGGTCTCATTCTCAATGACCCATGGATGAGCACATTTTCCCTCCACCCAGCACCGCCGTCCAGAGGCCAGGGGGAGAGGTCTGGGTCACCAGCCAAAGTAGGAGCATACTGTATGAAGCAGTTGGCACCAAGCCATCCTCACCCTGGGCAGAAGTAGTGAACGTTCAGTGAGAGGGGTCCCACGGCCCACGCTTGCCTTCACGGGGGCGGCAGGGGCGGCCACACTGCGACGATGCTGCTTTGAATTTTCTCAGTCGAGGGGGGAGGAGACCGCTTTGTGGGTGCAGAGCTGGGGCTGTGAATCTGTGGCTGCGGACGCCCCCATCACGTTCTGTCTCACCAATCAGAGTGCTGACGCCTAAATCCAGGATGTTCTGTGTCGTCGCCCTTACCGGCCCTGACCGCTGACACAGAAGGGGCTGAGCAGACGGGGTGGTGGGGCGGCTGGGGCTTTCTTCACTGGAGACGTCGCTGGGAGGGGCTGCTTCCGTGCACATTTGGTGCAGTTCGTGCAACACAAGTTACTGGATTCCTAAGCAAGTGTCCCCTTTCTCCCATCAGCTTTTTTAAAAGTCTTCTACTTTAAAATAGTTTCAGACTTCAAAGGTGCACAGGTAGTATAAAGTTCCTGTAGCCCTTCCCCCAGCTCCCCCAGACGTCCCCATCTCACGTCGTCACAGCGCACTGTCCAAGCTCAGCTGGTCCACCTCTCTGTCCAGACAAGCGTTTTTTGCTCCAGGAGCCCCCACCATGTCGCGTCATCTCCTGGTCTGTCCCAGTTTTCCTCATCGCCTTTGACTCTGGCACTTCGGTAGGAGCCGGTTGGTTATTCTGTGGATTGCTCTCCAGTTTGACTTGTCTGACGTGCTCCTCTGGTGGGACTGAGGTCAGGTATTCTTGGCAACACTGCCCCGGGATGACGCGCCCTCTGAGTGTGTCTGTCAGGCTGCGCAGCGTCCGTACACCGTGTCCCTCCAAGTGGAACCTTGATCAAGGTTCTGCCAGGTTCTCCACTGAAAAGGTGTCATGGGTAACTATAAGTAGTGTTGGAGAGAGACACTTTGAGACCAACAAATACGATGATCCTGCTTAAACATTCACCCGATTACTAAGCCGACATCAGTCTGTCCTGCCGTGGTGGTTCACGTGGCTTTCTACTCCCATGTTCCTTCTGTTTCGTTAGAATGTTTCTCTGGAGAAGGCCTGTCCCCTTCTCTCGTTTCTTCCTTTATGCAAGTCCATGCAGCAGTACGTGCTCATGGGTGTTTAGTTTGTCCTGTGGGTTATAATCCAGCACTGTCTTTAATTCTCGTCTTGCTCGGACCGTGGCAGGGTAAGCGCCTGAGCTTCCATCGTGTTGGTGTCTCTGACCCGTGAGCCCTGCTGTGCCTTGCGCCCCTTCTTACTTTCCATCCCTGCAGGATGCGCAAGCTTATCTTGTGTTTCCCCTGCCCCAAGCCTGAAACAACCGCTTCTCCGAGGAGCCTGGTTCCTTCTGTTGGGAGTGGTGTTGGGGAACCAGCCTCTCAGGGCTGGGAGTGCTCGCTCCTGGGGTGAAACAGCTGGCTGTTTCCAGGCCCTCTCAGGCAGAGCTTGGAAACACCTCTCTGCACGGATGCGGGAGTGGCCACGCCTCTTTGTTTGTTTCTGCTTGTCATCTATCTATGTACCATCTATTATCTATCGCTTAGCTATCATTTGTCATCTATTTATCTATCACTTATCATCTGTTGACTATCATCCATGCATCTGTCTATCACCTGTCTATAATCTATCGTTTGTCTATCATCTTTCTTCCCCTGTCCTCCATCTGGCATCTATTATCTGTCACCTGTCTTCTGTCATCTATCACCTATCTGTCATTTATTGTCTATCGTCGGTGCCTCCATCTGCCATCTCTGTGTCTATTATAAAACCACAAATTCACAATGATACTTCCAACTCCAGGCCACCCACTCAAGACCCAGCCCTGCCCTCCCCCTCTCGCTACCTGCAACTCCGTTCCCTGGAGCTGTGGGTCTCACCGGTGGCTGCCCTGTATGAGTCCCTTCCGCTCCACATTTTCTCCAGCACCTGGTCAGTCTTTAGTGGGGCAGGGGATTCATTCTAATGAGGGCAAAGTGGTTATTATTTTGCATTTAATTTTTGTTTATCTAATGACTAATGAGGGCTTCTCTGGTAGCTCAGTCG